AGTGAGAGAAAGCTGGTAGGCCTACATATGAAAGAGTGGGTCTATCCTGCAGCACACAGTGCGTAATGAGAAAAAAAAAACTTTGACCGTGTTTTTGGATTAAAACAGCAACTTTGCAGTGCATTTTCGTATGGTATTTATTGTTGTATTCTAGTTTTCCTGGTCTCATTTGATAGAATGGAAGACATATTACAGAAATTGAGATGATTTTGACTGGTTTTACAATTAAAAGTACCTTGAAATTGAGCTCAAAGTAGCAGAAATGTTTGATTTTTACCAAAGTTCAAAAGTAAACAAATCATGCCAAGCATCCAATACACATCAACTGGTGAGTCTAATATTCTTTTACAAGTGCGCCGATATTATTTATACCATTTCTACCCTAATGCAGTAGTCTGCATAACAGTAAATCTTCTATTTTTGTGAGAATAAAAATTCAAAATGGAAAGCAAAAGAATGTAAGAGGGGCATGGGGACGTGACTAATGAACAGAGAAAATGTTATTTTAGTGCCAGGAATGTCTTTCTTGATTATTCTGGACTCTATTTGGAAATTGGCATCTTTTGAAATTTGTGTGAATTTGCAAAATTGCTAAATTATGACCACAGTATTGGATAGTTGCAATCAGTAAACAGGTGGTTTCTTGTACTCATTTGATAGAAAAAATGGAGTTCTAGTGAAATAGGTATGATTTTTGTCGACTAGTACATTGGAATTGGCTGAAAGTACGGCTCAAAGTGGGCAAAATAGCTGATGCATAAACATCGTCGAGACTGCTAACTTCGCGAGAGCATAATCCGTAAGTTTTCCATCAAATTTCATACTTTTGGTGTCATTATGATCGGGAAAAGATTCCCTATCTTTGCATACGAAAAATTTTTTTTTTTTTTTTTTAAATTTGGGGGACCCTGAAAACAAGTCTCTGAGAGGGCCTGTGGACCCTGAAAGGGCTAAGGAATGCAAAATGGAACTCTGTGAACCATTAACTAATATTTTTAAATTATCTCTTCAAACAAGTGCAGTGTCTGATATGTGGAAGATGGATAATGTTACTCCTATTTTTAAAGCATGGGACAAGTTGTTACCGTGAAATTACCACCCAATAAGCCTTACCTTAATTGTAGGCAAATTACTAGAGTCAATTATAGCTGGTATTATAAGATGCTATGTGGATAGGCATAATTTGATTAATGATACTCAGCATGGATTCACGAGGGGCCGTTCCTGCCTAACTCGTTTATTAACCTTCTTCAGTAAAGCTTTTGAGGCTGTTGATCACGATAAAGAATTCGATATTGTTTATTCAGATTTTAGTATGGCTTTTGATAGAGTTCCACACCAGAGACTGTTAAAGAAGGTGGCAGCTTAGGGCACTGGGGAAACATGCTGTCAGGGATCGAGTCATGGCTCACTAATAGGAAGCAGAGTATGTGCTTAAATGGGGTTAAATCCGAGTGGGGATCTGTAGCAAGTGGCGTTCCACAGGGATCAGTCTTAGGCCCGTTGTTGTTTGTATATATCAATGACCTTGGTGAGGGAATTACAAGTGATATGAGCAAATTCGACGATGACACAAAGATAGGTAGGATAATTGGTTCAAACATAGATGTCACAGAACTTCAGGAGGATTTAGACAAACTTAATTCCTGGTCAGAAAAGAGGTAGTTGCAGTTCAATGTAGATAAATGCAAGGGTCTGAAGCTTGGCAGTGTCCATAACACTAGTATATATAAATATAAGTTAAATAACGCAGAACTTAGCCATGCAGATTGCAAAAAAGACTTGGGGTTATGGTAAGCAGCAACCTTAAACCAAGACAGCAATGCCTATGCGTACATAATAAGGCAGAGAGATTATCGGGATTTATTTCAAGAAGTGTAAGCAACAGAAGTCCAGAGGTTATACTACAGCTTTATACATCATTAGTAAGGCCTCACCTAGATTACGCAGCTCAAGTTCTCTTCTCCATTTTACAGAATTGATACAAATTCATTAGAAAACATTCAGCTAAGAATGACAAAATTAATTCATAGCATTAGAAATCTTCCATATGAAGAAAGATTGTAAGTCCCTTAAATTACATTCACTTATAGGACGAAGAATGAGGGAAGACATGATTGAAGTGTACAAGTGGAAGATGGGTATTAACAAAGGGGATATAAATAAGGTCTTGAGGATATCTCTCCAAGAAAGAACCCGCAATAATGGATTCAAATTAGATAAGTTTAGATTTCGAAAGGATACAGGAAAATATGGGTTTGGAAATAAGGTAGTTGATGAGTGGAACAGTCTGCCTTGTAGGGTTATTGAAGTTAAAACCTTGGGTAGTTTCAAATTTAGGTTGAAGAAATACATGAGTGAGAGGGGTTGGATTTGAGTGGGAGTTGCATATGAGTGGACAGAGTTATCAGAACTTATTTCTTGGGTGCCACTGAAAATTGGGTTGGGTAAATATTTTGTTAGTGGGATGGATTGTAAAGGACCTGCATAGTATTGGCCAACAGGCCTGCTGCAGTGTTCCTCCTTTCGTACTTTCGTATCTGGAAAAACTTGCATATGGGTGCACTTGCAAGTAGAGGTTCCACTGTATATCTAAATTGGATTTTTTTTTAATTTTGTGTAAAACTGGTCAAACTACCAACTTCAGAGGAAGATATACTAGGGAAAATAGCTAAGAATTTTTTTAAAAGAAGCATTGAATTTGGCTTAAAATATGACTCAAAATGGGTACAACTGCAGATGAATAAATTGAGCCCAGTTGCAAACTCTGCACCTGCATAATTCCGTAAGCTTTCCTTTAACCCTTTCAGGGTCCAGAGGTCAAATTTCAAAGTGCGCACCAGGGTCCAAGAATTTTCCAAAAAAAATTTTGTTATTTTTTCTTATGAAATGGTAGAGAATCTTTTTCTGAAGGTAATAAAACAAAATGTACGAAGTTTGATGGGAAATTGACAAAATTATGCTCTCGCGAATTTTGATGTGTCAGCGATATTTACGAATCGGCGATTTTGCCAACTTTGACTCCCATTTTATGCCAATTACATTATTCCAGTCGACCAAATTCTTAGCTATTTCACTAGTATTACTTTTCTTCTATCGAGTGAGTACAAGAAATCGCCAAGTCAACTGTTTCAACTACAAAATAAAATGATTGGAAATTGGTAATTTGGCCAATTTAACACAAAGTTCAAAATATTCCAATTTCAAAATAGGGTTCAGAATAAACATTGTAGGTATTCCTGGCACTAAACTAACATTTCCTCTGGAAATAAATGGTATAAAATACCGACACAATGGAAATATAAACACAAATGCAGTATAATGTGATCCTTTATTGACTACGTTTCGCCCACACAGTGGGCTTTTTCAAGTCACAAACAGAACTGTTTGTGACTTGAAAAAGCCCACTGTGTGGGCGAAACGTAGTCAATAAAGGATCACATTATACTGCATTTGTGTTTATATTTCCAACATTTCCTCTGTTCATTAGTTACATTCTGAGGCTTTACAAATGAATTTGGTTTTGATTTTTTATTCACATAATGAATTTTTATTCAAACCAAAAAATAGAAGATTTACTGTTATGCAATATTGTAATAATTGTATTAATATCACCAACACATTTGTGAATGTATATTAGACCCACCAGCTGGTGTGTATTAGACGTGTGAGGTCGTTTGTTTACTCTTGAACATCGGCAAAACTTTAACAGTTCCGCTACTTTGAACTCAGTTTCAAGCCATTTCCAGTGCTAAAACCAATCAAAATCATCTCTATTTCTGTAATATGTCTTCCATTCTATCAAATGAGACCAAGAAATCGCAAATACAACCATAACAAACATACGAAAAAACACTGCAATTCGCCGTTTTAATAAAAAATCATGGTCTCAGTTTTTTTTCTCTCATACACTGTGTGCTGCAGGATTTCTTTTATGTGGTGCACACATACCACACAGATGTATTCTCTCATATCAAGGCCCAAATTTACCACTCACAGCTTATCGGTGAGAGCTGAGCTCATGGCGTAGATCTACGGTTTGGACCCTGAACATAAAGCTGTAGACTTACGGGACGGGTCCTGAAAGGGTTAAATTTCACACTTTTGGTTACATTACCTTCAGAAAATTTTTTACGTACCATTTCAGATTCTTTTTTTAATTATATTATTTTTTTTATTAACACACCGGCCGACTTCCACCAAGGCAGGGTGGCCCGAAAAAGAAAAACTTTCACCATCATTCACTCCATCATTGTCTTGCCAGAGGGGTGCTTTACACTACAGTTTATAAAACTGCAACATTAACACCCCTCCTTCAGAGTGCAGGCACTGTACTTCCCATCTCCAGGACTCAAGTCCGGCCTGCCGGTTTCCCTGAATCCCTTCATAAATGTTACTTTGCTCACACTCCAACAGCACGTCAAGTATTAAAATCCATTTGTCTCCATTCATTCCTATCAAACATGCTCACTCATGCTTGCTGGAAATCCAAGCCCCTCGCACACAAAACCTCCTTTACCCCCTCCCTCCAGCACCTCCTCCTAACTTCCAAACTACGAATTCTCTGCATTTTTAAACAAAAAGCAATGTTAATTTTAGGGGTCTAGACAGTGAAAGAGATTAATAATACAAAGGTTTAGGCATGACTCGGGGATATCTCCCCAAAAAAGTAAAAAATTAAAAATTTTCAGAAAGCATTATGGACCAAAAAATTACCAGGTATGGAAGAATCTGTTGGAAAAACCTAATTCAGTGTATCATACAATGTATGCAAGTACAACAATAGTGTCCCTTACCAGGAAAGAAACAATACCAATTTGTTACTAGGATCTTAAGGTAAAGTTTAAGCTTTATATTACTGAATAAATATACTGGAGGACATGAAGCACAGAAAAGAAAGAATTAGTGAATAGTGGAGATATGGGTGTACTCTAGATAAATAGTAAAAAAATGCAGTGTGTTTTACTGGAGGTTTCTCTATTGATTTTCCACAAACTTACCTGCAATTTTTGGCCGTGAACGAGTAGAAATTAGTTTAGCCATTTTTTCCGTGTAAGGGAAAGTCTTGTAAGGTTCTCCATTCCGTCTGGTCTTCTTCCTTTCCTTGTAAAGCCGTCTCAATAACAAGTGGTAATTGCGACACTCTACCCCAGTAAATCTGAAATGTGGGAAGAAAATTGTCTCAATATTTTGTTTTCCTGCACGTATGCACACATTTCTGGCCGTCTTTCACATAACAAAATCTTCTACCTATCTCGGAGAAAGATTAACCTGGAAAATGTAAGAAAAGCCAAACCCATTTATTATATTGAATGAAATATTAATTTGAAAGAAAATGCAAAGAGTTAAAAGAACAGAAGTTCCTCAGGGTCCATACACAGCAGCACTTACTCTAATGAATTGCTTACAAATGTTTAATAAAGTTTCCATTAATCACTAACAATGGTACTGAAAAAATGCAGATTTTGTCCTTGGACATGTTGGTGGGAGACTTTCTCACAAAACTTACAGCTATGGTTGAAGTGGTGGGTTATGGTAACATTTTGCATGTAAGTATAAATAGTTTAACCCTTTCAGGGTTGGTGCTGTACTAGTACAGCTTGCACACCAGGGTTGGTGCCGTACTAGTACGCATAAATTCTAGTGCCTTCAAATCTAGCGAGAGAAAGCTGGTAGGCCTACTTATGAAAGAATGGGTCTATGTGGTCAGTGTGCATAATATAAAAAAAATCCTGCAGCACACAATGCATAACGAGAAAAAAAAAACTTTGACCGTGTTTTTGCTTTAAAACAGCGACTTTGCAGTGTATTTTCATATGTTATTTATGGTTGTATTCTAGTTTTCCTGGTCTCATTTTATAGAAAGGAAGACATATTACAGAAATTGAGATGATTTTGATTGGTTTCACAATGAAAAGTACCTTGAAATTGAGCTCAAAGTAACAGAAATGTTTGATTTTTGCCAAAGTTCAAAAGTAAACAAATCATGCCACGCGTCCAATGCACGTCAACTGGTGAGTCTAATATTCTTTCACAAGTGCGCTGATATTATTTATACCATTTCTACACTAATGCAGTAGTCTGCATAACAGTAAATCTTCTATTTTTTTGTGAGAGTAAAAATTCAAAGTGGAAAGCAAACGAAATGTAAGAGAGGCCTGGGGACGTGACTAATGAACTTTGAAATAATCAAGGTGCTAAAGTGTTTTATTTTAATATTTGGTAGCTCCATTATTTTTTAGATTTAAAATAACTTAGTTCATAAGTTCATAATTGTTAGTGGTTTAACTATCTTAGTTCATAAGTTCATAATTGTTAGTGGTTTAACATCATTGCTTTTGTCTTTTTATTCTTTAATAATTGTAACAGCTATTTCTCTATGTACCCCTTATGAATGTAATTATCGATCCTGATATCAACCTCTTATTGAACAGCACACATAATCCTAACAGTAATTGCCATTACTACACTGCTAGTCAGGCTAATACCCTTCTCAGTGTCAGAAAGAACATTACAGTCTTCAAGTACAATGTTAGATCATTGAGTAAACACTATGATGACCTCATTGCACAACTTAAGTCTCTAAATGCTACTATAACTTTCATTATACCTACTGAAACCTGGCTCAGACAAGATCTGACAGACATATTTACCATACCTGGTTACAGAGCTACAGAGCCATACATAACTGTAGGCCCGACCAATCAGGAGGAGGCACTGCAATCTATTACTCTGATGAACTAGAATGCGTGAAATCAACTAATGTACGGGATGAAAACGGTGAATACATAATGGCTAAATTCACATCAAGAACACTTAAGAAACCTATAGCAGTTGGTGCAGTCTACAGACTACCACACTCAAACACTTACACTTTCAGCAATAACCTTAGAAACATGATAATTAAGTCAGAGTTGAATAAACACTATCTGATACTAGCAGGAGATTTCAACATCAAACTTATCCAGGCAACCGATCCTCCAGTAGTTGATTTCACATATGCTATGAACAACAGCTTATTGCTACCCTCTATAACAAAGCCAACAAGAATTGCTGACACTAGTGCCTCATTACTCGACCATATTTGAACCAACATAATATCCCCAGCACAAGCAGGTATATTCACAGGTAACACCACAGACCATTACCCTACCTTTCTCATAACCAATTTATCTAAAGTGCTTCAAGAAACAAGAAAGATCTCATTTCACCTGCATGATGAGACATCGAAAAACAACCTAAAACTAACTCTAGGTGCCATTGATTGGCAGAGAGAGCTAGACGACAGTAATAATATCGATAAAGATATCAAATTTTTTTTTTACACAAAACCCTAAATATCTACAACAAACATTGCCCAATCAAAATGAAACAGATCACAGAAAAGAGGCTAAACAGCCCATGGCTAAATAGAAGTATCCTCAAATCTATTAATAAAAAACACCAAATTAAAAAACAGTTCAGATTAGGCTTAATTACTAAAGAATTTACTAAAGCAATACTCACAAAACTAATACATAAATCAAAGCAAATGTATTATGAAAATACAGTGGACCCCCGACATTCAATGGCATCGACATTCGATAAATCCGACATTCAATGCATTTTAACGCAAAAATATCGCCTCGACATTCGATCTAAAACCCGATATTCGATATGATTCGTACGAGACGTGTCCACGTGTGGCCTGAGCTGCCCCGTGTGTCCCAGTGTTTACAAGCCAGCCAGTGTGCGCGCATCTAAGGATACATTCAGTACATTCCATATTATCATTGCTTTTAGTGCTTGTTTCTGCAAAATAAGTCACCATGGGCCCCAAGAAAGCTTCTAGTGCCAACCCTTCAAGAAAAAAGGTGCTAATGACTATTGAAATGAAGAAAGAGATCACTGCAAAGTACGAAAGTGGAGTGCGTGTGTCGGAGCTGGTCAGGTTGTATAGTAAACCCCAATCAACCATCTCTACTATAGTGAGCAGGAAAACGGCAATCAAGGAAGCTGTTGTTGCAAAAGGTGCAACTTTGTTTTCGAAACAGAGATCGCTAGTGCTAGAAGATGTCAAGAAATTGTTATTGGTGGGGATAAATGAAAAACAGATAGCAGGAGATAGCATCTCTCAAGCGATCATTTGTGAAAAGGCTAGGCAGTTGCATGATGATTTGGTAAAGAAATTGCCTGCAACTAGTGGTGATGTGAGTGAATTTAAGGCCAGCAAAGGTTGGTTTGAAAGACTTAAGAATCGTAGTGGCATACACAGTGTGGTAAGGCATGGTGAGGCTGCCAGTTTGGACCACAAAGCGGCAGAAAAATATGTGCATGAATTCAATGAGTACATAGAGGCTGAAGGATTGAAACCTGAACAAGTGTTTAATTGTGACGAAACACGCCTGTTTTGGAAGAAATTGCCAAGCAGGACCTACATTAGTCAGGAGGAAAAGGCACTCCCAGGACATAAGCCTATGAAAGACAGGCTTACTCTTCTCATGTGTGCCAATGCTAGTGATAATTGCAAAGTGAAGCCTTTATTGGTGTATCTCTCTGAAACTCCCAGAGTGTTCAGGAAAAACAATGTCCTCAAGGCTAATTTGTGTGTGCTGTGGAGGGCAAACAGTAAGGCATGGGTCGCTAGGGACTTTTTCTATGACTGGTTACACCATGCATTTGCCCCCACTGTGAAAAATTACCTAATTGAAAAGAAATTAGACCTTAAGTGCCTCCTGGTATTAGACAATGCCCCTGGTCATCCTACATACTTGGCAGCTTCAAGAAACTGTACACAAAAGCTATGTTTCAAAAGTGCTTTGTAGTGACCACAGAAACTCAACTGACTCTAAAAGAGTTTTGGAAGGATCACTTTAATATCCTCAATTGTATAAACCTTATAGGTACGGCTTGGGAGGGAGTGACTAAGAGGACCTTGAACTCTGCTTGGAAAAAACTGTGGACAGAATGTGTAGACAAAAGGGATTTTGAAGGGTTTGAGGCTAACCCTGAGAATCCTATGCCAATTGAGGAATTCACTGTTGCACTGGAGAAGTCCTTGGGGTTGAAGGTTAGTTGGGAGGATGTGGAAGAGTTGGAGGAGGACAATGATGAGCTAACCACTGATGAGCTGCTAGATCAACTTCAACAGCAAGAGGCCAGACCTGAGGAAACTGCTTCAGAGGAGGGGATGGAGAAAGTGAAGAATTTGCCTACTTCAAAGATTAGGGAAATGGTTGCAAAGTGGCTTGAAGTGTAAAGCTTTTTTGATGAAAATCACCCTGAGACAGCTACTGCAAGCCGTGTTGGCAACCTGTACAATGACACTGTTGTGAACCACTTTAGGAAAGTCATAAACGAACGAGAGGTACAGGCCTCTATTGACAGATATGTTGTGCGACACAAGTCCAGTGACTCTCAAGCTGGTCCTAGTGGCATTAAAAGAAGAGGGGAAGTAACCCCGGAAAAAGACTCGATACCTCAAGTCCTAATGGAAGGGGATTCCCCTTCTAAACACTAACACCATCCACACTCTCCCCTCCTCCCATCCCATCAATCATCACCAGATCTTCATTAAAGATAAGTGTCAATTATTCTATTGTTATTAATCTATTATTATTGTTGTTATTGTAATTATTCTATTGCAAAAAACTTAATATTTCGTATGGTAAAATATTTTTTTTTCCTACTTTTGGGTGTCTTGCACAGATTAATTTGATTTCCATTATTTCTTATGGGGAAAATTAATTCAACTTTCGATATTTTCGACATTCGATGAGCTCTCAGGAACGGATTAACATCGAATGTCAGGGGTCCACTGTAGATCCAGTGAAATGAAAGGTGACATGAAAAGTACCTGGCATGCCCTCTCCAAAATTTTGGGCTCAAGGAAACCGACTGGAAATAGAGAGATAGACTTAACTAAACCAGATGAATCTCACATGCAACCTATAGACACGGCCAACAAATTTAATGTCTTTTTCTCTACTGTAGGATCAAAGCTAGCGAGTCAAATTCCTAGCTCAAATACCCATTAGAGCAAGTAACCCACTGAAGTCTCACTCATCATTAAATCCTTAAAAAACAAATCAGGTGATCTTGATAACTTGCCACCAATCATACATAAAAAAGCTGCACCAGAACTGTCATCCATTATTGCAACAATGTTTAACAAATCTA